TGGCGCACGGCAGGCGCCGCGGGCGTGGCAGCACGACGAGTCGTCCTTGGGTGAAGAGGAAGACGACGAACGCACGGGAGGCGGCGTCGCTGCGGCGGCGGCGGCGCCGGACGAGCCCCGCGCACGCGCGCCTCGGAGACGCAGCGCCCGGCGGGCGGCGCGGGCGTGGCGACATGACGAGTCGTCCCCGGGTGAAGAGGAGAGCGACGAACGCGCGGGGGGCGGCGGCGCCGCCGACGAGGACGCTGACGAGGACGGCGGCGGCGCCGACTCTGGCGCGCCCCCCGGCCGCAAGTTGAAGCGCGCCAAGAGCAACGCCGGCGCCACCAGCCAGCCGGAGGCGCCAGCGCCGGCGGGGCTGACGGCGGAGGAGGCGGCGGCGCTTGAGGAGCTGCTGAGGCAGCTGACTGTGCCGCACGCCGCGGCGGCGGCGGCGGCGGCGGCCGCTGCAGAAGTGGGGGAGGACCTGGTGATGGGTGGGGGGACGGCAGTGGTGGCGGCGGCGGGAGCAAGCGGGGAGGCACAGGTCAGGAGCATTGCAGCCGAAGCAGTCGCGGTGACAGGGGCCACCCATCAGCAGCCGCCGCCGCCGCCGCAGCAGCAGCAGCAGCCCCAGCTGCAGCCCCAACAGGGAGAGCCGGAACCCTTTCTGCAGCAGCAGCAGCAGCAGCAGCAGCAGCAGCCTCAGCAGCAGCAGCAGCAAGCCCCGGGCGAGGCGGTGCGCGCACTCGAAGCCGTCGCCGTCCGCACGCTCGGTACCACCGCGCCCGCCGCCGCCGGCGCTGCCGCGCCCGCCGCGCCGGCGTCGCCGTCGGCGGGCGGGTTGGACGAGCACGCTGCCAGCATCTGGGGCGGCCTGGGGCTGTCGCTCAACTCTGGGCAGCTGCAGCTGTCCGGCCTGCTGGACAGCCGCAACGAGGAGGACGGCCTCGGAGAAGAGGCGCCCTCCTTCTCGCCCGCGCCCACGCTCGCGCAGGCGCCGCCGGGCCTGCATCCCCGGCCGCTGCGCCAGCAGAGCCGGCGGCGGGGGTCGCCGCCGCTGTCGCAGGCGCAGCCGATGCCATCGATAGAGTTTCCCAGCCAGCTGGGACCCATGCTGGGGTCGAGCCTGTTCGGCTCCGCCCAGCCGATGTCGCTGTCTTTGAACCTCAACAACAGCCGCGGCGGGGAAATGTCGCTCGACCAAGTGCTGAGCCAGCTGCTGACCATGACCCACAGCGGCGGCAGCAGCGCTGCGTCGATGACGGGCGTGCCCGCGGCGGCGGCCGCGGGCGCGCACCTGCTCGCCGCCGCGGGCGCGCAGCACGACCCGCGGCGGCCCCTGCTGTCGCCCCCGCGGCGAGGCGCGGCGTCGCCTCCCCTTGCGCGGCTGTCCGCCCCAACGTCGCCCGTCGCGCGCGCGCCGCCGCCGCTCCTGGCAACCGGCAGCGCCGGCGGGCCGCCTGGCGGGGG